ATAAGATAATCACTGTTTTATGTAGGTAGTCATATATTTTTGCATTGCATATATGTTATGTGTATATAGATTGCTGTGTTTCAGAAACAGGAAAGATTTTCTTTACTTCCTAGTTTTCCTAAGAGTAAAAATGTAACTTCTTATTTTAAAATACACATGTCTATTTTTGTTCATTCCCCCAAACATGCATCTTTATTTATGCATACCTGTTTGGCTCATTACTCATTTCCTCATTGATACTGTGGGTGTGCATTTTTAATAAATTGAGGCACAAACATTATTTTTCTGAAAGTGTGGAGACCTCAACATAATTAATGGCCTGAGAAATATTTCCTTTTGCTTGTGAATTTTTTCTTTCATATCTAAGAAGACTGTTAAAAAAAAATCTGTTTGGCTGTCTTCTGGTAGCAATTTAGAATTGCTGACTTGGACTCTCAACTTACCATTATCTGTTTTTGGAGAGATGCCTACTTAACAATTCAGTGCTGTGCAGTCTACAAAAGAGTCTTTTAAGAATGTTGTGCCAAACTATTTTTCATTCCCAGATAAGAGGTTAAATGGACTCAGCAGGAGCTAGGGTCTGTAACTGGTCAAAAGCAAAATGCTGACAGTGAACAGCTTGGCAATGCTGTGTCCCTGCACAGGGCAGCACTGTCCAGATCCTATGGAGTGCAGAAATCAGCAGAAACTGGAAGAAAGGGGATGTATCTCACAGGTGCATTTCTCAGGATGCTGTGATCCTTGGTGCTTGGCACTACAGTGGTTGTACTATGCTGCAGCTAAAAACCATGCCTGCATAGTAGGATTTTTAGGTCTCCAGAATGCTGGCCTCTGTTCTGCGCATTCGTTATGAACATTTCCTCTTTAGGAATTAGTGTTTAAGGAAGAGGTCATACCATGGGCTTCTTTTTCCAGCTTCCGCTTCAGGATCAATTTCACTTTCTGGCAGTAGTTTTTTGTTCTTGGAAACATGAAGTAATTTTAGGACTGTATTGGGGAGAATAGAGGAAATTAAATGTTTAGGCTCTAGGTGTGGATAGAGTATCCTTCTTTCTCTCTCCATTTTATATTTTCATGGTTTGTTTTCTGCTCTAGTGTGCAATTTCCAGCATACTGGTGCCAAATTATCTCTCCCTGGCTGCCACCTCTGTAGCTCTTAATTACTCTAGTTCAGCTGTTCTGTTCTCTGCTTTTCCTGCTCCTTCACATTTTCTTCTGATTCTATGTTCCGTGGTAAATTTGATCATACCTATCAAGTCAGTAACTCACTCCACAGGCAGAGAGGGTTATTGGGGCACTTGATTCCTGGGCTGGAAGTAATCAGGATTCACAGGCTGGATTAAGGCAACTTGACTTGTAAAGCAGTGAATGAATGTAAAGTCTAAAATTTATAAAATAGTGTGATTAAAATTTACTCAACTGGCTCTTACTGTATCTTACCGCATCTTTATTATTTTTAAAGAGTGCTGTAAGCATCTTAAAAGTGTGTGGGACTGCTGGTTGTCTTTATTTGAGTGTGTGAAAACCTCTACCTTAAAAAGGTTCCTGCCAGTACTGCTAGTTCATTCACTCATAAAGAGGTGGTGCATACACAAACACGCACACTTGGAGCAGGGGATATTTCTGTAATAGTATAAGGAAATTCTGCAGATGTCATTATGAGCGTGTTCATACTGGCTCTGATTCTTGGCAGACTTAACCTGTCCATGCTGGTGAACTGGAAAAAACAAAAAGGGGCTTTTGTATCATTTACCTGCTTGCAATTTGCTGACCAAGGAAAAGGAGGCATTAGCAGAAAAAAGACAGAATGCCCCAAGATTCTTCTTTCCTGCTTTTACAAGTGCAATTTCTGCCTTTGGGCCTCTTTGAAAATGACTTGAGTCCATTTCATTTAAGCTGTCTGTTGAGTACTCTGGCTTTGTCTAGAAAATGTACTATAAAATTGTACTGTGGCTGGGTCAATAGCAAGTCACAGGCATCAGTGAAACAGTTTTGCTTTGCATAATGAGACAGTTATTTTTTTTCTTTTAAATGATACGACATTTTATGCAATTTAAGAAAGTAGACAAGAAAAAAGGATAACTTTTCATAGTGGTCTGATTTGGTGCACTGACAAGCACAAGTGTGGAATTATGGATGCCATTCAGAGTTTATAGGAGGCAGCCCCTAGCTGTCATTGCAAATGGAAGAGCAGGAACAACTTTGTGCCTGGAGGGGAGAGAATGAAATTTTAAAATCATAAGACCAACATTGGGCATACTTTGCTGGACATGCATTCAACACTGGTCTATACCTCTTCTATAGAAAAGTTACTTAGTTTTGCTCAAGTTCTGTCCATATGATTTGTACATGCACCTTTGCTTTTGACTAATAAATGACACATGGCTTCTTGGCATCTTATGGCTCGACTTTTTGTCTGATACCCTTGGGCACCTGGCAGATGACAAATGATACATTTAGATAAGAAATAAATAAAAGCTACATAGCATGTGCATAGCATTGCATGTGTGTTTGCCTTAATTTTGTAACACAGTCCAACTATTATTCAACTGTGTTTGCTTAGATGATATCAGCTGGGAATAACATTCACATACAGTAGAACAGCTGACACTCTTGCTCTACTTACTTGGTGGCATAGTTACTAACAAGTTTGTATTTTCCTAAGCAGGTTTGGGACTGCTGAATTGAGAAATTAATTAATTTTAGTCAAGTTCATAGAATCATAGGATCATGGAATCATCAAGGTTGGAAGAGGCCTTCAAGATCAGCCAGTCCAACTGTCCACGTACCACTACTTCTGTAGCCCCTCAACCATCTATATTACATAGCACCAGATCCAGACTTCTGAACACAAGTGTGTTGAAATTAGTTTGGAGGGTTGAGATTTTTATTGTTTTTAAGACTGCCATTTGCTTTCCAAATATCTTTTAGAAACAAGATGTCTAGCATGTTTTCTGATCTGAAGGTAATGCTGTTTTTTTCTGTGAACTGCTGGGCTCATGTATATGTGCACTTTTGCAATGCATTAGAGGAATGGCAATTCTCACTTTGTGTATAGAAAGTACTCTTTTCCATTGGTCAGTGCATCTGGTATTTACTTTTTATTGCAATAACAGAGACATTGATCCTTTACATATTTGCAGGAGTCATTAGTTTTAAAGATATATTAGCCATAATCTGTTTACCAAAAAAGAACCTTAGCATGAAAACATAAATCCATGGGGCAAATGGCTATTAGTTTTAAGGCCTTGCCCCTACAATCAAAAATCTAAGTTGATGTTTGTCATGTTTAAATTATAAATACACTTCTAAACTCCATTGGCATGTTTTCACCATTTTTTCAAAATTTTGGCCAAAAATTATTCAAATACATTTTTCTGCAGCTTGTTCATTATTAGCACAGCAGCATAAGTACACATCTAATGAAATAGATTGCACAGAGAATAAACACTGTCTGTGCAAACAGACTAATAATACAGTCAAACCCTGCACTGAAAAGGTTTGTATTGCATGGGACAAATCATGTTATTCTGCTGTTTGCATGCAGAACCATCTGATGGTAACAGCAGAAAAATGATGGATAGACTGCTACTAGTAGGACATTTTTCTTTATGCATCTTTTTGAGAAGTTCTTTTACAATTTTTTAATTTTTTTTTCTTCTTTTATAAGTGGAAGTTATGGTTTGATTACCCTGAATTCTCATTTCTTTGTCTTGGTTGTATTGTTGGTTGTATCAAATTTCCCATGGGGTTTAGCCATAATATACTGCTTTCAAGACCTGTGTGTGAAGAGGAAAGGTGGAAAATGGGGCTGTAACACTTCATAAAGGTTGTCTTGAAAACAAACAAACAAAAAATAAAAACAAAACGACCCCAAAAAATTGTAATATTTAGACAGATTGTGTCTGGCGAATGTGGATCTCATAGTACGTTAGAGTTGGTACCTTGGGATTTTTCTCACTACTTGAAATGTTTCTCAATGAAAATTTGAGAATTTTAGAGACATAACTTCATGTAGACATTAGTCAAAAATATTAACTTACTTTGCTGGAAAGTCTTTCCAGGTAGTATACTTTTATTAAACTCACAAATTATCTCCATGATAATTGAGCAGTCTCTTGGCAGTCTGGTGAAGGCCTAGGTGACTGGGAAAAGGGAAACATTGTCCTCATCCTCAAAAAGGGTAGAAATGAGAGCCCTGGCAACCACCAACTGGTCAGCCTCACCTCTCTTCCTGGGAAAATTATGAAATAAATTCTCCTAGAAGCTCTGCTAAGACACACGGAGGTCAGGGACATGATTTGGGATAGTCAGCACAACCTCACCAAGGACATTGGTATTATTATCTGGTGTTATTTACTGTCTTCATTAATGACATGGATGAAGGAATCTAGTGCATTCTCAACAAATTTGCAGATGACACCAAACAGAGGAGTGCAGTCGATACTCTTGAAAGATGAAACCTGACCCAGAGTTACCTGGACAAGCTCAAGAAATGGGCCAGTGGAAGTCTTACGAGGTTTAATAGGGCCAAGCCTGCATCAGAGCAACCCTCAATGTCCATACAAGCTGTGGGATGAAGACATCAAAAGCAGTCTTACTAAGGACAGAAGAGGGACTTGGGGGTGCTAGTGAATGAGAGGCTAACATAAGCCAACAATGTGTGCTTGCAACCCAGAAAGCTCACCCAGTATGATATTTTACTACTTCATCTGAGTTTTCAGCATGACTTTCTTGGTACATCTGGATAATATAGATGCAGACCAACAAACGCTGTATAAAAGTTGTTTCTAAAGCTGTGCTCATACCACTCATTTCCTTAATTTTTCTAATGTCTGATTCTGAAATCTGCTAAATCCTGTTCTCATTTCAAATTCTTCTCAGGGTAGTTGGATTTTTATTTTCTTCTTCTCATGAGATGTCTTTTTGGGGAAAAAGACCTGGCTATTAAGCAGTTGAGAAGAATTATTAATCAAATCTTTTGTACTGTTTCCAAACAGGGACGAAGAGGCTTAGGTTCAGTCTTTGTTTGGGCTTCTGGAAATGGTGGAAGAAGTCGAGACCACTGCTCCTGTGATGGCTACACCAACAGCATCTACACTATCTCTATAAGCAGCACAGCTGAAAGTGGAAAAAAGCCGTGGTATCTGGAAGAATGTGCATCCACACTAGCTACAACGTACAGCAGTGGAGAATCCTATGACAGGAAAATAGTATGGGTTTTATTTGTTTTTTCATGTATATGTGTTCGTATTTGGCACAGTGACTTTGAGGGATGGAGAGAAAGGGAAACCATTCACACAAATATATTTCTTTTGTTTTAAATCTAGTTATCAATAGTTTTTACATTTTACATACATATTAGCAGTTTACTTAGATACCTATTTTCTCATATTTGTTTTGACACGGCCCCAGTCCTCTTTTACATTCAGTGACTGTCACTTATTACTCATATTGCTTTCCATTCTGGAAATATATTGGAAGGAAAATTCAGCTCAGTGCTCATCTTTTCTGTATAGCTCCTCTTCTCATTCCTAAGCTGACAGCATCATTTTACCTAATGTTTACCTCATCTTTGCTGGAGAATGAAAATAGTTTTAATTCTGTTGGATAATCTGTTGATATCATTAGTATTTGTACATCCTATGTGCTTTTGCAAAATGAATGCATTCCTAATACTTTCCAGAACTCAACATTCTACTTCTTTTAACCTTTTGGTCCTTTATTCTCAGGTGGATGAGGTTTGCTAATATTGTCCTCTTCTCTGCTTATTTATTCAAGTGTTTAACTTACAGAAATTTATTACTTCTGGATCAGAAAATTGAAGGATTTGGAGGTTTTTTTTTCTTCTTTATGTTTTCTTAAGGACTCATCTAACCTTTCTCTCTGGTCCTTAGCATATTCTTCTCTTGGTGTCAATAAAGAGTTACAAATATTTGGCTCTATGTTTTTTTTAATACTGTCTGCCTTGTCTTTCAGGATTCTGGGATGCTGGCCATCCCTTCTTGGATTCTTTGTTATTTTCAGATGGTTTAATTTTTGTTTTAAACTTGTTCTGAGATCTTTCTTCATTCCAATGATTTTTCTGTTATTTAGTTGCCACTCTTCACTGAAGTCTTCTCTCTCTTCCTGACATGTTTCTTGTTATCCCTGATAAATAATAATAAGTTCTAAAATTACTGTATCTACTAGGAGTCCTCACTTCTGTGGTTAAATTCCCTTCACTGTCCTTTAAAAGACGTTCACTAACTTCTTCATGTTTCAGTGAGACTAAAAAGCTGAGCAGATGGGATTGTGGTCCTCCAACCTGACCTCTTACTTAGCCAAGTCTGTAGAACTTCCCTGAGTCCTTTGAATCCAGCAGTTGCTGTCAAGTCAACAATTTTTATAACCAAAATCAATATTGGTCTCAAAGTTTTCTGTGACAAAAAATTACCTGAAATTTAGTGTAAGTGCTCTTAATTATTCATTGCCATTAAAAGATCTCTCTTGTTTGCTCTCTGGGCCCCTTTAGCTTTGATTTCTAAGCATTTGGTGTCACAGATTTCATTGCTAATATGAACCGCTCCAGTTGTCTGTCTTTTCTCTGCTAATGTAGCCCAGACAGTTAATCCCTTTTGATAATGGAACGTAAGCTTCTTGTATCATCCTGTCCAAGTCATATTTACTTATAAACCCTGTTTCACGTTACAAGCTTCTAAAATCTAAACTAGACACAGCAGGCAGGCAGCAGCAGTATTCAGTGAGAAAAGCACTGGAAAATGGGTGCCTGTGTGTGCTCGGTCAGTTTTCTTCTGTTTATATACTGACCCTGACTGAGACTTGTTAGTTTCACTGTCATGTGATGTGTCTATCACTGTGTGATGCCCAGCCCACCTTCAGAGCTGCTGCTTCTCTTTTCCGAAGCTGGTGGTTCAAGGAAATATGTAAGGGTAGTTAGGGTCTCCTTATCCCACTGTTAACAACTGGCTGGTTTAGTACTCACCTTCAGACCAGCCATCATCAGCACTTTGTCATTTTCCATGTTTCTCCTATAATCATCTGAAGGTGCTGGTTTTTTCTTCCGTGTCTTTGGTAAAATCTTTAGGTCATACTGTGGCCAAGAACCAAATTGTAGAAGACAATTGGTTAGCTCTTGAATGATAAATCATTTGGGCAGGAATCCTGTCAGAGGGGGGAGGCCTGCAAGGGAGAGTAGGGCTAGGAGTAGTATTGCATTTAAGGATGGGATTTTGGTTAATGCAGTTATTACGGTGGATAGTTTCAGCACTTTGATTGTGTTTAAGGTGAGGAAGACAGTTGTGGTTATCATGGCGTACAGTTAGGAGTTGAGGAGGGTGAGTTTAGGGTTGTAGATGATGATAATTGCTATTCAACCTAAGTGGGAGACAGAAGAAAAGGCTAGGATTTTTCAGATCTGTGTTTGGTTGAGGCCCATTCGTCCTCCAAGGGCTGCTGAGAGGATGGCTAGGGTGGTTAAGAGTGTGGGGTTAAGTGAGGAGGAGGTCATGTAGAGTAGTGTGATTGGGGGAAGTTTTATGAGGGTGGATAGGAGGAGGCCGGTAGTGAGAGGAGAGCCTTGGAGTACTTCTGGGAATCAGAAGTGGAATGGTACTAGTCCTAGTTTAATCGCGATTGCTGCAGTGAGAATCAGGCAGTATGTTGGGTGGGTAAGTTGGGTGATGTCTCACTGTCCGGTGTACCATGCGTTGGTTATGATTAGAAACAGCAATCATTTCTTCCATATGCTATCTTCTATCTGCTATAAGAGTGTGTATAATTTCTCTGCTTCTAATTTTTATTCATGCTTACATTTTTGGACCATATAATTATCCCAGTTTAAATGAATGTATTATAAATCATGTACATTTTAAATCTCTTAAATTTTAATACTTTTTAAGAAAAAAATACTCTGTATTACGTGATGTGTCTTGTAAAATCCTGAGTATATTACTTTCAGCCAAATTGATGGCCAAAAAAAATACTACAGTACTTTGGCACATTTCTTTTCCAACATCTTATCCACCATTGAATATACTACTAGCTAATTAATCTATTAGTAATTCGTTTAAATCCTGTATCAGCTGTTTTACACTAGATAAAAAGGTGGCAAATAGATGACATTAGTAGGATGTCTTACTTACTTACACTGCTTACCCTTTTTAAAATAATGACACTATGCAGATTTTCTGTCAGTCTTCTGGAATTTGTGCAGTGTTCAAACATTTGCTAAAAAAACACGGTAGTTCCCTTTTCAGCTCTTGTAAGAGCCTTTAATTAGCCTTGGCACTTCTAATCTTTCTAATATTAACTTGTTATTTAAAATAGAGATAAATAGGACGATGATTTATCATCGTTCTATGCTCTGAAAAATTAATTTAGACTTTTTTTTTCTAAAAAAGAAACATTCCATGAAATAGCTGCTTACTATAAACTATTATCTTTGGACAACAAAAACACTATTGTTTTGGGGATTATTTTGCTTGTGACATATTTGAAAATAAAACACGTATTATTTTTTAGGGTTCACCATTTAATCTTATCTTTCCTTATTGACTTTCTGCATCTTGTATCCTCAAAAGTAATTAATTGCTGTTTCTTTATATCCTTGCTCATGTTTTTAATATCAAGTAGTATATCTCTGTATTTCTCAGTCCTTATTTGTACTTTCCTACATTGCTAATTTAAGCTTTGTGCATTCCTCTGATTTCTTAATAGATGTAATTTTCTTGATTGTCATCCATTCTTTTCAATTAATGCACACTTTCTGCTTTCACAGAATTACTATTTCAGCAAGAGAACATTGCTAATTTCTGACATTTCACTCTCTTATGTCTTGTACTAGGATCAAAAACACCTGGAGGTGAGGTGATCTCACCTTTGTTGTTCAAGACTTCTCATGAAACACAAGCATATAATTTTTTAGTTTACTGAAGTATAGTACCCACCACTTCTGGAACTTTGCAGTGTGCTAATACAGGCATGTTAATCTCTTATTATAAGATTTTTGAAAAGTATATCTTACAAAGGAGATAATAATTATATATATAGAATGCACATAAATTACCCCATAATTAGAAAATTAAGGAAGATAATTTACATAAACATTATTGAAAAGAATTTAAAATATTACTCTAAAAATTTTCTTAACTGGAGTCTCCCTTGGAGATCTCACATTAAATATCAGAGATAAGTAAAAATAATTTTTAATTTAATTCCATGAGTTCTATAAGCACTGTTTGTTTTTACTAGACAGATGAATTGTTTTTACTATTCAGATCAGCAATTCAGTTCCATATACCAGTTTTAGTTTAGTCCTACAGTGTGCATCATTTTGCACAGTAAATGGCAAAAGTCTGAGTAGCCATAAGAATTAACCCAGGTCTGTTGACCATTTGTTTACCCAAATGTAGTTTGTCCTTGACTAGTCTTGTGCAAACCAACCTTCCAGTTGCAGTTGCAAGAGTCACTGATCCCAAATGCTTGACAATCAGACTATAAAAATTCCTACCAAGATTCTTTTTCCTGCACTGTATTATCACTTGACTTTTGAAACACACAACTCTTCCATGTTTTACTGGTGATACTTGGTATTTAAAGCCATGCAAGGCTGTTCCCTTTCCAGATTCTTTCAATGATGAAGTGATAAGCATAGTGGAGGTAAATAGCTTCTGTTTGTGTTGTGTGTAAACCAGTTGTCCACATAAGGGATAAGTATGTGATTCTATTATGCTACAACCCAGTGAGAAATTCCATGAAATTGTGACACCAGCTTTTCAAACTGATTGTTGAGAAGTCCTTTATGCATACACACCCTCTCATAGAGACAGGAATATTGCTATTACCTGTGTGACTCTCTTGCTTATAGTCTGTTTTGAGAGCATTAATGATTGTATTGCTATTCTTGTCTCAAATTCAGTCCTCCTAAAGTCCTGTCACATATCATTTACCTTGAAAGGAAGTCTTATTTGAAATGAAAAGTGAACTCAAGACAGAACTGAATATTTCAAATAATAAGCTTTTTAAACTGCTGTTAAATGCTGGAAGAGTCTAGAAACTATGTTTTCACTGATGTACCATGCATCCTTTTCCCTGCATTATATCTCACACTTTTGTTTAAACTGGTGCTCCTTTTGAGTCAGGTTGTCTTCATATCTTTCCACAAGAAACTGAGAGCTTGCAGCAATTTTAAGGAGAAAAATAACAATATTGGGTGAATAGAAAGATTATTATGAAATTTAAATTATCCAAATTCTATTATGCTTATAAATTTTTATTCAGTTGACAAAAAAATAGAGCAGGGTTGAGCTCTATGCCAAAATTTGAAGAGTAACAATACTTGATCAGATCATAAGATGATTTTGTTTGTTGGAGTGAGACTCCTACATTCAAATACCATAGCAGTAAACCAGGAAGAAGTGACCTGGCATAGGATTTACAACCAACATCAAATGAACTAACTTTTTCTCTTTCTTTTTTTTTCTTTTTTTCTTTTTTCTTTTTTTTCATGTAACACAGCACAGATTTCAGTATCATGTGAGATTCTACAGTGTTGTGGTACAGAAATACTTACCCAAGACTTAGGAACAGTGAATGAGTTACAGTTGTATAATGTCATGTTTCACAGGTTCTTCCTGTTTTTCCTTGCAATTCTTTACCTGAATATCTTTTTTTTCTTTTCCTCTCTTTTTCTGTCCAGTAAGTATATGCAGAATGTATTATAAGGTAAATGAAAAAACAGTAACCAAGTATTACAAACTCACTTTGTAGACTAAAAATTGTTATAAAAATGATTCGATTTCAATATGGAGTAATAGAATCACAAACACTTTTATAACTACACAAAACACTATTTTTTCTCTTTTTATTACTATAAACTTTTTATAATTCCTTGTTAAAAATATATGATGTAACATTATTTTAGAAGTTTTTCTAGTCTTGGAGGGGTTTTCTTGTCATATACAATGACAGCTTAAAGTATCTTAAGCTAACAGTTACAGGTAGACACACCTTCTTGGAAGAGTTCCTTGCTGTTGAGGAAAGTACACCAAGTGCACTTGACTTTATACTGTACTGAGTTTTATTGCAGTGATAGTTAGCCTCTTATGAACCAAGTTTCCGCCCTCTGGATATATTAAAAGTATGCAAATATTCTAAAGATGCCAATAGATGTATGCTTTTTACAGAGACTCTTATGGAAAAGGACTAGAATTACTTTTAGGTGTTTTCAAATGCAGCTGCAAAGTGCTGGCACAGTTACAGGCATAGAAACTCTCACAGAGACAAATGGACGGTAGGTAAAGACTATAAAATTATAGTTCTTTAGAGATGTTACCTCTCATACTCAGTGTGTACAGAAGTATTCACTAGTCATATGCAGTTATCAAGGTATTTTTTCATATTATTCTCTTCTTTGCTACTTTGAATGCCATAGGACAATGCTTAAAGATAGGTTCCCCCTGCCAGACCATGTGGCTAGGACAGGTTAAGCACCATGTAATAGAGTTATCTGTATGGTTCTTATCAAACATATTGCACAAATGAATTTCCTTTGAATTTGTTTTTCAAATGATTTTATAACATGCTAAGATTTTTATATCAGAAAGTTCCCCATAGATATGATTTATAAGCCTATTAAATTACTTATCTCCTGTAAATAATGTATCTACTTCATGTTCCTCCTGTTTTGTTGTCTTTTGATAAATAGTAATTAATCTGCTGATGTTCTGTCTCTTCTTGTTGATAAACTTCTATTCTCAGCAGAACTTAAAATTGAAACAACAAAAGAAAGCCCATCCTGTCTCCTGCCAGTTCTTAAAACACAAAAGCCTGCTCTCCTTCAGAAACTCACTCAGGTTATCAAGATATGCGCCCGATAATCACAGGGCACAATGTGACATCTCTTCTGGGTACATACAGATGCATAGGCTGTGTAGAATGTAGAACAGATTTTTGTTAAAATCTTTTCACTTCTAGGGATACATTCATTGAAATCAATATGTCTTGAAGAACTGTAGCAGAAGGTAAAAAGTTATTCAATCACTTCGGAAAACTCATGTCATGAAATACGAAATACAAAGAAATGCAGAGGCTTGAGAGAGGGTATGTGAGCTTGTTCTCTCCTAAGAGAAATCCCATTTTTTACTTTTTTCATTAATTTCCCAGTTGGTAAAACTATGGGAAGATTGATGATTTAGCCTTAATAATAACTGTACAAAATTGGCATCTCCTTCAGAAAGCAAGTTGCTCAGAGCAAGTTGCTTCTATGAAACTGTTACAGTGTGTCTAGATTTTTTCCTTTAATAAATGCCTGGTTTTTCTGAAAACTTTGCACCAATGCCTGTGGGAGGTATTACAGTGCATTGCAATGATTTTTATAATTTATCTTTGCTTTTCATCAAGGTGTCTGTGGCTAATTTCATGTTGATTAAACTAGACAAATACCAGAAACTTTATCATTGTCTTCAAATAAACCTCATTGATTCAGCTTATTTAGAAGTTGTTGTAACTCTTGGCCCTAGAAATACTGCATGGACTTTTCTTGCAAAGTTGAATCAGCATTTTTGCAGATCAATGGCTGTGTTATACTCAATGAAAGATTTAAAAATTTCTCCTTCTCCCCACCCTAACAATCAGAATGACTGCTAATATGCTCTAATGGCAGCTTCATGGTGCTATCAAACACTACATCCTTTTATTGTGATTGATGATGTTATGTTGCTCAGGAATTTGGACATCATTTTTCTTCTTGAAATTTTATCACCTTTTGGTGATCATGTACTCTTTTTTCTTGGGGTAAATGCAACAGTTCTCTGACAGGGAATCCATAGTGCTGAAAAACACGCCTCGGATCTTGGAGGTAATCTACACTTAAACATCTTAGCTCCTTTCAGCAGCTTTCCTTTGAATTAGCTCAATTGGCATTCACACATACAAAGCTTTCTTAACACATTTTCAGCTGAAGAGTCTGCTGTAAGCAAGACAAGGGTTGAAATTGCTACCACAGTATCCATTTAGAAGAAGTTAGAGAGATGTCAGGGCTTGTTGTGCTTGATATCTGTAGTGACAGGACAGTGAAATTTATCTGGAAGGATGGTCTTCCAGAGGATGAGAAACAAGGATAGCACAATTCAGGTGCGTTTCACTGTATTGACAGAAGTCCCCTCCTGTGACAGCACTTTTTTTCCTTCCCAAGCTCCTGGATGCTTTGTTGCCATTTATGCTCTTTGCGGTGCCACTTTTATGCAGGGCATAAAGTACCAGGATATGAAGGACATGAGCATGTATTAATCCCTTTTCACTCTCTCTGTTTCCTGGCCTTCCTTCTGGTCCTTGCCACAGCTCTGACCAGTATTTTCCAAATGGGACATCTGCATCTTATATATCTCTGGGTGCATGTCATCATCTAGTATTCAGACTTCTTAATTCCACCTGGAAAATCCCCACTTGAATTTGCACATATAGGCAATCCAGTGTCAGGGCTGTTCCTGCTGCAGCAGCATGTAATTATCTATGCATAAGATGTAACAATTCAAAACTGAAAACATCTAATTGGCTGGTGATGGCTGGGCCAAATTTGTGATCGCATCAGGATTTTCCGATTAATTACTGCTTAATTTCATGTGATTTGTTGAATAAGGAGTAAATGAAAGATTAAACATTTTAGCATGAGCAAAACTGAATTCTCTTGTGTCACATAATTCCACTGTGACTTCAGGCAACCTAATAAAACCCTCCATACCTCTATATAGTCTCTAAAATGTGCATAAGCAGGCTGTATATAAGATTTAGTTCCTTCCTGTTTGTAAAGCACTTTGAGATTCTTGGAGGGAAAGTCCTCTGTAAATCCATATAGAATGAAAGAATTGCAGTTGTGCAGTTTCAAACCCCTCTGCATGTTTTTCTGGTTTAAAAGTGTCTTTGTTGATTGGAGCAATATAGAGAATACTGTCTAAATTCACGAGTGACTTCAAGTTCAGAACATCTAACATCATGTATCTTCCTTCGCTTGCAATTAAAGAAGAAAATACCCTTCACATACATGTGACTCATTCAAGTATATGAAACATGCTCTGATTTCTGAATTGTTCTAATGTGTTCTAGATTGTGTTCTAATTTCACACATTCAATTTCTTCCAGATTACTACAGACCTGAGGCAGCGTTGCACAGATAGCCATACTGGAACCTCAGCCTCTGCACCTATGGCTGCAGGCATCATTGCCCTAGCACTGGAAGCAAAGTAAGATCTGAGATATATTCTGAAACAAAAATTAAGCATACAGGAAGATATTTCTCGTTCATCCAGCACCTTTATGCAGACTTCACACAGTGCTTTGGAAACTTTCTTGTGACAATACACTGTGACCTTCTAAGGGGAGGAAAGATCTCCATGCTTACTTCACATGAAGGAAGGCTGGCACTGTGCAGATACTGACAGAGTACTCAGTGTTGAAGTTACATGAAACACTGTAGAGCACAGGTGGTTTCCATTAAATTATGTATAGCATCCTCTCAATATCTTACAGTTCAGTCAGAAAGCAGCCTAGGCCTACTGTACCCTGCAGGGTACTGTAGGTCACCTCCTCCATTCACCAGGCTCTTCTTAGCAATGTCTCTTCTTGAACACTGAAAGAGGTTTGGGAGGTGTAGGTTAACCTGAATATAAGTAAATGTAGTATGTAAAATAAAATTGCAATTTCTGCATGCTGACACAAGTCTGTTTTTTAACGCAGATCAAGTTCGTCAGCTCTAAAAATCATTAATAGTGTAGCTCCATAGTCCTTGTACCTTTAGCTCAAAAAATTTCCAGTCTTAAAAGCATTTTTTTAGTTGCATGATTTGGCTCTTTATGCTTAATATGTATCCACAATGTGCTTTATGGAGCAGCAGAAATGTGGGTGATCTTTAGGTAAATCTGTATTTTAGAATATTTTGCATTACTTTGTACTCTGTTGGATAAAACCTGCAGGTCTAAGATGGAATGTTTCACCCCAAATCCTATTCAATCTTTTTAAGTTCTAGGAGATTGATTCTATTAAATTCTGAAGAAAACTAGTTTCCTGTGGGGTCAGCCATTTTCTTTGAAGGAAGTAAAAAATTTGCACACAATAGTAGATTCAAATTGTGTATAGTTTGTAACACTAGAATTATGTTTTCATCTTTCATGTTGCTTTCTTTGATGACAGCTTGACCCAGTATTTGGCACAGAATACTTTTTGCCATTGAGTTATAAGCATAAGAGTTTGTAAATGAAGACCTGACATAATCTTAAGTAGTGCGGCACATGTGGCATTATAATTGTGTGTTCTTAACACAGTTATCAGAGACAAAGGTATTTAGGGAAGTTAATATAATGTTGTTGTGGGAAGTTTTTAACTTTTATATCTCCTCTTAACCCCAGGTTTAAAATCCTTAAGTTCATTTCAAACAATCTGCAAATGCAGATAAGACTCTGTCTGTGTACATTCCAACTTGCTGTAAGTTTTTCTCACTATTCTTGCTTAATGAACTGAAATTGGTAATTGATTAATTCTGTTTTGTTGTAGTTGAAAGATTCAGACAAGTTATATCTTACAAGACCTGCAACAAAGCAGATTGTGACATCTTAAAACAGACTGAGAAGCTTACCCTTTTCTCTCAATGTCTCTACCAGGGCAAAATCCATATTAGTGTATATGGACTAGCATTTTTTTCCAAAACCAATAGTAGCTATAATAGACATAAAGACAAAACTGTGGTAAAGCTTTATGTGTGGTGATGGAGACAAAATGTGCCAGTGACTAAATATCCTAGTAACTCTTTTGTATTTGTAGTCCCCCATTGCACGGTACTAAAAAGGGTTTCGGAGTGAAAATGTGTTGACTTTGCCTCCTTTTAGACTCTGTTCCATTTCATTAAATGGAAGGTTCTGTTTCTAGATCTTAGCCTTTGTATTAGGAATTATATTAATAATACCAATACCATAGGAATTATATTAATAATACCATAAATAGGGGTTTTATTCATTTGAGTTTCATTCATTAACTTTTCTCTCTTATGTGCTCTTAAAATCTGCCACTGCTGCTAACCACAGCCACTAAATAAAACAGAAAAAAAAAAGTAGTTAAAAAGCAGAGAGAAACTAGGGAGAAAAATAGTTCTCATGCTATGGCTTCCCATAGAATGGTTTTCTTCACCAGTTTGGAGACATCTTTGGTGTTGTGACATTATAGATTATGAAATACAGCCTTTAGTATTATAGGGAGATCATATTCTGATCTATTAAGTTTTAATGTCTTGGGTTCTCATGTATGGAATCTGTTTAATTTATTTCATGCAGTTTCTGGATTTCTTATTTATGTGATTTGAAATTTCAGGTTGTATTTTTTACCAGTGATGCCTCTCAGTTTAGGTGACCCTAGGTAAATATTAGGAAGTTTTGAAGCCATTGAAGTATTTTCTACAGTACTTTTAAAATGTGATATAAAGGACACATTATATTGTGTCTCAGTTAACTGCCTATTGGAACTATTTTATTTCAAACAGAGTTTGCATTTTCATAAATACTTCATTAGATTCCGTATTAGTACCTCTGCTAATGGCAGTGTTTATGTGAGATTTTTTAAAAGACAATTTGGAGAAGGGTTTTGCAAGGTAAACTACATTCTTTGTACAGCAAGCTGCCTAAAAATTAGAGCACTTAGTCCTAAACACTTATTGACTATGTTTGTAATAAGGTATTGTTTCATTCCACTTTGTGGTGGAAAACACAGCAGTTTATACCATGAGTGGGTTTTGAGTCTGTGGAAGCCATAGAACTTGCCCAGTGGGTGAGTTCTATTCCTGGGAGACCATCACAAGTTGAGCAGAGCACTAATATGGCCTGGGTGTGAGTTGGAACAGCCAAGAGGTTGCTTCAGCTCACACACAAAGGTACGTTCAGCCAAACAAAGAAAAAGCAAGACATATGTCTTGCTCACACTTTCTTTGACAAGCCCCTATGGTAGGATTGGCAAATAGCTGATGGAGGATCTCTTACCTGCCTACTGATTTGAGCCCTCCACTTAACCATTTCTTCCAACAGGGATCGCTTGTGAAATCCTGGTAACAAGTTGTTTGAGGGTGTTGTTATGCATAACATGGTCACATTTTTATTATTTTCATCTAGTATTTGAGTATCAAAGTGGCACATTTTTCCTCAGGTATCAGAGAATTGTAACTGAGTTTCGGACTGCTTATTTGGAATCCCTGAGGTTGCAGTGCATGGTTGCAAATACGCAACAACTATCACACAAACATATCTTAATTTTCATGTTCTGCAGTTTTCTTATGGTATTTAGGGAGTAAATTGCTTTTCACATGTACCCAGTAGATGTTTCCTAGTATATCTAGTACCTTGATCAGATCGTGTGAATAAATGCTTGTGTGTTGCACTTAATCATTATGTAATGTCAAATTTTTCTAATTGTAAATGAGAAAATAAGTATAATCAATTTAGTGCACAGAGACAGCAATTTTCTTACTAAAAAGAATATATTTTCATTGCATAGTACCATCTGTTGTTGGTAGCAGAGATACCTTTCTCATTGATAAAAAGGTTGGATTTGGGATTTGAGGAAATCAGAGTCAGGAGAGACAATGGCCCTGTATTTGTTCCAGAGACCATTGTGCCATGTTCCTTGAAGAAGCCAAATTTAAATAGAAACGCCTCTGTTGCTGACAGAAGAATACATTATACATCCCCAACTGTAAGCCAATGCATATTTTCCAGCATGTGGTGTATAATAAACTAGTTTCATTAGTAAGAAGCAGCCACTGAAATGGAAGTATTAGTCTCCTACCTTTCTACCATGTGGTATACTCAGTGGTAGAGCCTTGGAGAGAGTCTCAGTCTGTTTTAAGATGTCACAATCTGCTTTGTTGCAGATCTTGTAAGATATAACTTTTCTGAATCTTTCAACTACAACAAAACAGAATGAATCAATTACCTCCATGATTCTCTTCACTTGAGTGATATGGAATCTTAGAATTATTTCATTTGGAAGGGACCTTAAGGATCATCTCATTCCAACCCTCTGCCATCAGCAGAAACACTTTTCACTAGACCAGGTTGCTCAGAGCCCCATCCAGCCTGGCCCTGGAACAATTCCAAGGGGAGAGGCACCCTCCACTTCTCTAGGCATCCTGTGCCAGCGCTTTACCACCCTGCCAGCCAAGATGTAATCTAAACCCACTATCTGAAAGAATGTATCTTCTCCTCAAAGGAGAGGTGCTTCATCCCTCTAATAATTTTCCTGGCCCTCTTCTGGACTTGCTCCAAAAGATCAATGTCATTCCTGCATTTGCTGTTTTTGCATGAAACAAGGCTAGAACAAGGTAGTTCTGGAAAGAACAAAAGAATTTTAGTGAATTTGGATAATAGACAGAGAATTAATAATGTACCACATTCTTCTAGAAGACAGTACCACCAAGTGTAATCACTGAGGTAAAAGGAAAACGGAGTTCACATTGTAAGGGGTCAGCAGTGTTAGAGTTAGATACTTTGGATTTCTGGCAACTGAAGAGATATTTGCATACTTCCCAGACTGATTGATTTTCTTACAGAAAGGAGAAAAGCAGTGCACCATCTAGCAAGGTACAACTTTGTATACTGAGAACATATTTCTGTGTTATCAAAGTTATGAGGGCTTTGTCATAAATATAGTCAGAGGTTAAAAGTGATGAGACAGCTGAGGTAAATTGAGGAAGTGCTGTCAAGTGTCCTCTACAGCTAGAATTTGAGTGCAGGAGGAGAGGTTATCATTTACTGCTTTAGCTAGGTCTTTGCTTCATTGATTGACTGCCTGTTATGGAAGGCCATGCTAGAATGTGTGAGTTAAAAATCTCCTTCTGAATCTTTGCAATTTTTGAGTAGTTTGCTCATAGTATTGAAGTATTTGAAAAACATAACCATTAATAAATGCTCACTTTAGATCTTGAGGTTTAACTACCTATGCCACTTACGGAATTTCAGTTACTATATTGACATTGATTTGGGTGTACTTTAGTTCCTGTTCCTGTGTTCAGTTACATAAAAATTTGCCAAAGAATAACCATTCAGGCTGAAAGTTTCCATTTAACTTGCATTTAAAAGGTTTTAAGAAAATTCAATTTACACATTTCTTAAACTCCAACAAGGTTAAAAACAAGTAATGTCTGATTGTGATGATTTTTAACTTCTTCATTGAGTTTTTCTGTGTCTGTGCTTTGGAGCAACAGCTAGAAGTAAAAGTAGTGGATAGCTGTTGTTCTGGTGCCAGCACAATGCCTTTAATTTGTATAAGCTTTTCAGAAATCTCAGTTGGCATTTTCTCAGTTGAGACTTTTAAGCTCTATCCCCTGTAGTTTCTTGGCTCTCCAAGTGTTTTCCAGCATCAGCTTTTATAGGCTAGTCTCTCAAGTTACTCTTGAGATGTTTCTGGCTGTTCACCTTGAGAGCAGGGATCCCAGCTGTTCTTCCTGTCAGTTCCTTGTGGGAGTAAAATGAGGAAGGTGGAAGAGGAGCAGTTTGACTGAATTGCAGTGTCTCTGTAGTGAGTCTTTTGAAAAGTGGAAGACAGGTCAAAACAATGGCCTGTGTACAATAGCTAATGCTAACCATAGCTTCCTTTGTTAACCTAAGACAATGTTAGCCTTCTCCATCTTCACAGTCAAGCTGATTCTAAGGGTGGCTATTAACCTAAGGTTTTGTTGCTGCTCTTTCCATGTTGTTATTAAGCAGACAGTGAGCATTGTCTTTTGGACAGTCTTATTTTACTGTTCCTTTGGAGACGACACAACAAAATATGTAATTCAGATGCCTTTCTCTCAGGGGTTTTCTCCTCCCAATTTCATCATTATCAGCTTGCATATCAGGCCATTGTTTGTTAGGTTTTTGGCACTTAAGATTTTTTTATCTCTGTGTGCACTGCAGATTTGACACAGGTACACTAGAACACCGTTGCTGGTGGGTGTATAGCTGCCTACCCCACTGTTCATCTAAAGGAATACATCATGCCCTATCATAGCTTGTCTGGATTTTATCCTGAAAACCAGGATAAAGATAATGCAAAAGATGGATTTTTTTCCCCCTTTACAATAAGAGTGGTAAAACATGGAAACACATTGCCACAGAGGTGGTAGATGTCCATGCCTGGCAACACTCAAAATCAGTTCAGACAGGGTTCTGAGAAACTTGGTGTGGTTGAACATGTCCCTGCTGATTGCTGGGTACTTGGGCTAAATGCATTTTAAAAGTCCCTTCCAGCCCAAACCATTGTGTGATTCTGTGCCTGCAGATTCTATGGCAGAGCTTTTCAGTGCTGCCTTATGAGGAGGTCAGGATGCATTGCGGAAATTGTGGACATGTGGCATGAATATGAACTGAATGTTGTGAAAGAGAGCTAGAAATTGATTAAAATGATGTTGTACAGGACATTGTAGAAGCATAAACCCTTAATGCACCTTACTTTTGCCATGACTTTTTTTAATCTTTATGTCAGTAATTTTTACTGGCCCAACTGGATAAACAATTACTGTCATTCTACTCCAGAAGTCTAGTGTGAGAAACTGCATCATAAGTAAAAAAGCTACCTATAGGCATAGTACTGTTTTTAAGAAATGCTCAGGGAGAGAAGGCATCTGTTCTCATTAAATACAACAGAATATTTAAATATGTTAAGAATCTGGTTTAAGAACCAAAGTTTCCCTGGTTTTGAATGACTGCATAGTCCTGGGCAGTGTAGGCAGCCAATTCTGGGTCTTATGAATTTCATTCTGGTCTCTTTTCAGCTGAGGGGAATTGTGGCAGGGTGTGCAATAGGGACAGATAATGATGCTCTGAGAATGCTACTTAGTCCCTGGTGTTCTGCACCACAATGCTTTTTTCCTCTTCATTGTTTACTGGCTGAGTTTATCATTCCCTCTACTACACTGCATTTTTAAAGAGAATACTATTCATCTTCTTGCAGGTAATAGAAAAACTGAAAAATTGGAAGGAGAAAGAAAAGATAGCTGAATGTAGGCACCTTTAGATCGCCTTCTAAGAAAATAAATTCTCCCTCTTGTAGATATAGAGGAAACAGGAAAACTGCAGTTCCTGAAGATTTGCCCTAGTCCTAGAAGATAAATGTGTATTAATGTCACAGTGAGGATAGAACCGGCATCTTTTTCACCTTGCAGGTGGACAGGTTATTAGGAATCCCTTAAAGGAATACTTATCTGTGTAATCAGGCCCTTGCTTTGCGACTCACCAGCCATCCAACTGTTTGGAATTCTTGAAGAATACTCATAAACTCTCAGTGAATTCCAAGACTGGGATAGTAGACAAATTAATTGCAACAGAAACACATGGAATAGCTTCAATATGAACTGAAAGTTTAGAGGAATTTCCAGTTTGAGCAGCAGTTAGTGAGATTTAGTAGAGATTTTCAGCAAGCCAAAAGTTTGATTTCTTCTCCTTTGCACTCATTAGGATACAGTAGTTGATGGTCGTAAAAATTGCCTCTGTGTGAAATGTACTCATTCATCTTCCCTTAAGTTTCATATAACAGAATATTATCATATATTGTTACAGTCTGCTTATGGCAAACCTCCCAGTTGTATAAATAATATCATACAGCTTTTCTGTAAAATTGGAACATGTATTTTGAGTGGAGCAAAGGAAAGTAGAGATGATAAATGAAAGTTGTTTTGCTTTGGATACTTTTCAGCTTACATGACCTTGTATCCTTACATCCTGGTAAAATGTCTGATGTGTGACTTTGTTTTATCCCTATTTCATAGTCCATTTCTGACCTGGAGAGACGTACAGCACATTATTGTCAGGACTTCACGCGCAGGACATCTGAATGCTAATGACTGGAAAACCAATGCAGCTGGTTATAAGGGTGAGAGCTTTCTTTCTTCTTTGCTATCACAAGCAATCTAATATTTGATAATTTTGTTTGACACTATGCTGTGCATAGTTTGGAGACCTTCCAGCCTTGATCTGAAGGTGCCTCTCTTCTCTCATACAAGGAAAGCCTTTTAGAATGACTAATGCACAAAACTGTTGAGTGTGAAATGCATTGGCCTGATCTTCTTAGTTCCTTTCAGTTCTATATCATACACACTGCTGCCAGAAAACTAAGCAAATTTTTGGTGTTTTTCTTTTTATATCTAATATTCTGATAAAGTAGTATATAGTTGAAGATGTAGCAGTTCTGGATTCCAGCCATGTTCTCACTCAGAATTATTGTCAGTTTCAATTTTAAATGATGAAACAGTATTTTCAAATTTCATTTTTATATGATAAATCTTACATTATTTATATGTGAGAATTCTGTCAGATTTTGGATAAAATTGAATTTTGAGCTGTCATGACTATTCCTGAGACATGTAATCATTTTTCAGTGACCTGTTGGGTAGATTTTTAAAATTTTGTACTGTCTCTAAAATTTGATAAAAGCTACATCCTAAAACATTTTTTCACTTTTGTAATGCAAGCAGAAGTAAACACTTGTGCCCTTAAATAGGATATATATTTTCAGGATGGGTAAAAATGGAATCTTGAATCTGTACATTTTATTTCAGCACAGTTTTTCTTCTGATTCCCATTCACTACATTCTTTCTGCTTTCACTTTGTATTGTATCCTAAACAAAACCCTGGAATGTCTTATTTCTGGTTCTCTTTTCATAAGAATTCCACCCAATACTGACATACCTCTTATAAGATGAGAGTTGATCTGTTTGTGCTTTAATCTCCTCAGATAAAATGTAATATACAAGAGTTATCAAATCTTTGCCCTGGTTTCACTTTAAAACTGAAGCCTATATTTATTCTATTTTGGATCAAGGCACTGCTACTCTAGAGCATCTTTAATATATAATTCTGACCTATGCCATTGTTGCAATGGCATAGAAACCAAACCAAAAAATCCCTTTTTATTTATGGATCCAAACCAGTCTCTTAACTACAGAGAATGTATTTAGAAATAGATATTTGATCAGGACCTCCTAATCATATGAAGGTTCTGATGTTCAAGAGCCTGGTTTTATCCCTTTTACAATTGTATGCCACACAAAAAACATAAATAGATACTTCCTTAATTGCAATAACATTACAGTATTTGTTATTGCAAAACATCTCCCAGGATTTAAAAGTTTTATCAGGAGATGGTGACTCTATCATCAGTTTATTGGGGCTATATGAGGGTTAAAGACTACTTTTCAAGTAACATAAAGCAGAGCTAATTTTTTTCATATCTTACTTCCAAAATTCTATATTTTTAATGTTTTTCCACTTGTTGCCCAAGAGAGGCAAACACCCTGTGAGTCATTTCACAGCAGCTGTCACTCATTATCAAAAGACAGTTCACACTAAGGTCACACAAGCAGCAGCACTGGCAGCAGGACGTGCACTGTTGAATCACTGTGCTACCACTGCTTGTTCTGAATCCTTGGAACCATTTTTCTGTGCACTGTAACACATATATAGTAAGGAAAAGGGATGAATAAAGGTTTTGTCTCCACTCATGGAAAGTCACAAACATAGATAAGCTCAACTTGGTAACTTGGATTCAGGAAAAGCAACTTGAACTGGTTGAACTCTGCTGTAGACTCTGTGGTGAAGTTGAAAAAGAGGAAGATGAGCTAAATGCTTGACCTCTGCACAGCTCAGGAATCAACTTTAACCCAAATAAAAGCATTAGTTTTAGCTAAATTATTTTGGCAACTTAGGTTGAATACATGGTTCCAATAAAAATACATCTCTTTTTAAACTCCTGTTGGTTTTGGAAGAAGGAGAAGCAAAAGATTTAGTTTAAATCACAACATCCGAACTTGAATTCAAAAGGGGATTTGCACACCACTGCTGGCAAGACTGAAAGAGGTTTTTTTATTGCACGTGGCAATATTTAGTATAATATTACACTCTTATCCTTCTCTATCGCCAAGAGTAACAATTAAAGCATGGTTTTTCATAGATGAACTACACTGATCAGACTGAGTTCCTTAAGGAATTGTATCATAATCTTGTTGATAACAAGATCCATGGTTCTTCCACAGCATGTTCTTAAGAGGGGGTGAAAGATTTTTTTAAATTATCTGCACCAGACAGTCACAAGAAACGATCTACCTATCTTCAGTGCATACTGGTGGAGAAAGAGGAAAACAAGAATAAAGAGAAAAACAGGTCTGCCACTTTAAAAATAAGAACTGAAAGGGTGGAAAACAGCAAAAACCTGAAAAAACCTTTCACTCAACAAAGGGTCAGCAAGAGCTGGTAGTTGAAAGTGGGTCAGCATGCCCACTTTCAGAGGGCTGTTTTGCTGGTCTGCATGGCAACCCTCTCCCTTGCCATAGTCCCTGGCAGTGTTTTGCCATTGCAGAACACACAGAAAGAGCTCACAGATGTCATTACTGGTTTCAAGATCTCCTTTTTTTACTCTTTACATTTATACAAAGAAGGATTAATTCATGAAAAACTCTTAGGACAGCTAGTGATTTGCTAAATCAGTGCTTGTTATTTGTTTAATTTTCTGGCAAGTAAACAGTGCTCATTAAATTCATGTCAATAGAATTAACTCAGGAATGAGCAAGAATTTTTACTTGGTAGGGGTTTTTTTGTTGTTTTCTTGTCAGACAGCATGCATCTTTTCTCAGGAACTTGTTATTTTGTAGTCTAAAAAGAAAGACTTGAATACTCAGGCTATTCTCTCTTTAGTCAATTGTACATATAATTTGTCAATAGAGGGATTTTTAATAATTAAAGCCGTTAATTAGCTGATTTTATGAAAAAATACGTGAGAGCATCTGTTTTTGTGAGGATATCAAAACTGTTGATCTGTTTCTGCTATGGCAGATTGGATGCAAATCCTTGTTCTGTCAGCTGTTTAGTCAACAACAGAGCATGCAAGTGCATTCATAACAAGGAAACTGCATTAATGCTGACTTGTCTCTGAGTTGAAAGATAGAGAATGAAACACTGCAGTTTTAAGAACAAGGATCAAATCATATAAACAGTTCTTTGTCTGCAAGTGAAGGTCCACATACTGTGAAATTCTGTCTGGAGAAATAGACCATTCATAGGGCATACTACTGATTTGCAGGGATATTTCTAGAGAATGTACTTCACTCTTTCTGGCTCTGAAGCACAGAAAATAACACTTCAGTATGCTGAAATAAAATTCTACTGAAAAATGAGATAAAATGAAATTAAATTCTATCTAGTTTTTTCACTTTTGGGGCATTCCTGGGCCCTAGAGGAGACACTTTTCCTAGAGAAACCAAATTACCTCAATTTCCAGGGAGTAAAAACAGAGTTATGTCACATCCCTTTAGGTTAGCTAAAGTATCTGCTGCTTTCATTGAAGAGTGACCACTGAAAAGGATTAGTCACTTAATGTTTTTGAGCCTTTTAATATAATTGCTTAATTGTTTCATAAAACTGGTGATTATATTAGTTGTGAGCAGAGCATTCGCAGAGCATTAATCTGGGAGTGAGAATGAGGTGAGTATATATAGGCTTCTATTCAGGGGACCTAGACTGGACAGATTTATCAGTAGCCAGGCGGGAATTCAGAAATGAGGAAGATATCTTTACAACATGTGCATTTCCGAGAAGACAAATAAACTATTCATAAACACTGTACTGCATGTTTTCAATAACTTTAAAATGTAAATAAATTTTAAATTATATTTTTAATACATTGCCAGAAGCTGGCATAAGACTTTTGGAAAACAGCGAGCTCATAACTCATAAATGGTTATGTCAAACAATCAAAGCTGTTCATCTATAAAAGGATTTCTACTCTTACAGATACTCCCTGGTATTTTCACATGGTACTGTCAGCCAATATCAACTCCTATACACCCCTAATGCTCATACACACAGTGGGTGGAGCAAGTGAAACTGAAGTTTTGAGTTTAGCTATTGTAATATGCCAGCTTTCTTTAGTTGTCAATAAGACACCAAACGCATGAAGTTGCATTGGTCTGTGTAGGAGAGAGGAATACCTGCTACCTGTGCTAGTGAGACTAGTGGATTTTTGTCCTTGAAATATTAAAGGATGACCAGCCTGGCTGAACAGGTAGCTTTGGCTGGAACTCAGGACAAAAGAAAGGAGTTTATCATCTTAGGGAGACTAGTCAGGAAGGATATTCCAAAGAAGCACAAAGGTGTCGTGAGTTTATGCATTGAGAAAACTGGGAGGGCCAAAGCCCAACTAGACTACAATTTGGGTCCTGCAGTAAAAGGCAATTAGAAAATGTTTCTAAAAATACATTGAATTGTACAAATACATTGTATTTCTATGAATACAATGTATAAATGCATTGTTCCTACAAACAAAGGGAGGGTTAAGGGTAGTCTCGATTCTTTATTGGTTGCAGGGGGAAAGACAATAATAAAGGATGAGAAACGAATAAAGTAGTTAATACCTTTTAATACCTCTCCTGTAATAAGACTCATTGTTCTCTTGGTACCTAAACTGGAAGATGGGAATGGGAAAAAGAATTAAACCCCCATAATCCAAGGGGAAATGGTCACACCACTTAGATACATACAATCATATGTGGTCAGTTCTGTATGGGATCCACACAAAGGCACTGAGGGAGCTGGTGCAAGAGCTCACCACTCAGTCATTTACCAGCTGTCCTGGTTAACCAGAGAGGTCCCAGTTGAAGGGTCTAGAAAAAGGATCTGGGGTCTACAGATCTGTCAGTCTGACCTCTAGATCATCTTGAGTGCCATCATGTGACACGTACTGAGCAACCTTTGACACTGTTTCCCTTCTGGAGAAACTGGCTGCCCATGGTTCAGATGGATGCACAGTTCACTGGATGAAAAAATGACTGAGAGCCCAGAGAGTAGTGGCAATTGAGTTAAATTCAGCCACAACTACTGGT